AAGCACAGTTCAATTATGCGAAAAATCTAGACCTGCATTTTTAATTTGTTAGAGTAAAGCACTACTATGGTGTCAGAAAAGTCTAATCACTATCCAAGACCTGAATTTCTCCAATAAATAGGGTCAGTTAGTTCGGCAGTACCTAAGTAATCACTTCGTAGTGTATTCGTTTGTAACGTTCATTTTATTCTCTATATTCGAACAAAGAATTTAATTTAATAGTTTTCCTGCTTGAAGTAAGAAATTACCTGAAATGTTCATCTCTTAGCTGATTTTGAAAGTATCTAAAACAGGGTTGAACATCAACTGAATTGATGTTGTAGACCAGTAAATCAGTGACCACTGAGAGAGAACTAAAATTCACAATTTATTTATTTGGTGCACATAGCGAATTATTGGTGCCTTTGGTAGAACAAAAGTTCTCTTAATCTGTTTATTACCATAAGGTTTCGTTATGATATACTATTTTGAGATCTTCTGCACTCAGCACAAAGGACAAGATCCAGATTTTCAACAACAGTGTCAAGTCAGCTCTGCTATATGGTTCAAAGACTTGGTGCGTTGCCAAAGGCATTACCAACAAACTACAGATATTCATCAACAACTGCCTACGCTGGCTCGTTACTGAAGATCAGATAGCCAGAAAGAATAAGCAACAAGAAACTCACTCTGGCAACGAACCAACCAAGAAGCAATTGCTCAACAAATATGCAGTAGGAGGAAGTGGAGATGGATTTGGCATACACTGAGAAGACCATTCGGGGACATCGCGCATCAGGCCCTCCAGTGGAACCCAGATGGGAAGCAACGAGTTGGGTGTCCAAGGTGAGGGCGACATGGAGGAGATTGTGTGAGGAAGAAATGAGAGCTTTTGGGCTGTCAAGGAGCCAGGTCCAAAAGATTGCAGAGGAAAGAGTGCACTGGAGACGTGCTAGTGAAGCCCTGTGTTCCACTAGGAACCCAAGGGACAAATAATAATAATGATATACTATTTTAAGCTTTACAGGAAACTCAGGTGGATTTCGAACCTACACGTTTTACGAAAACTTTTCAAAAAGCACCTGAAGAGTTCTAACGTCAGGCGATATTTAATTCAGAATCGCTTTCCAATAACATATACAGTTCTAACGTCAGGATAAACTAAATGCAATAATAAATCTTTACACTTTCTCTTCATATTGATACAATAGGCAACTAAAATAAAACTCCACTCTGAGGTTTGTGGAGATTCAATAATGCATTTCAGGTTGAAATCCACCATGGACTGACATCAGTTGAAAGAACATTGGAAACCTGGGGAGACGGGATAGCTGTCTTATCCTAGTATGAGACTCCGCAGCAGTGCACACCCATGATCCCTTTCTCCATAGACCGGAGACCTTCAGGTTCCTCGGCCACCACGTTACCTTGAGCCACTGGGTCCGAACCCGATGGTCAACATTTCCTACTTCTGTTGATTCACGAGATAGCGCGACCTCCATTCAACGTTGTCGTTGAGAATCTGTCTTCATGTTCGACTTGGTTAGCTCCACTGGTCACGACTTCTCATTCGAACTCTGGGAATCAAACCTGAAAGTGGAAAATATTGACCATTAGATTCCAACTCAAGGGCTCAACCATAACATGCTGGCTGCAAAACCTGAAAGCCCTAGGTTCGATCCCTGGGGGCGGGCTCATTGGTGTGCACTGCTGTGGAGTACCATACTAGGACAAGACAGCTGTCCAGTGCTCTCACGTTTCCACTGTTTCTCCAACTGATGTCGGTCTATGGGGAATTTTAACCTGAAATAAAAATCTTTCTTCAAAAATGACTGACAGCTTTGAGTTTTGAGGCAGAAATCTAATGATAATAATAATAATAATACAATGTAACTGATTAGTAGTCTTACAAATAACTCGAGTTTCATACTGCCTACTAGAGTAAAATGTAATTCATTCTATACCACTAAAATATATTTATGGTCCCTCACTTTACTTGTAAGATTATACATACTACTTCTAAATAAATAAAAGTTAATATTTATACTTTATATTCATGATGCTTTCACTCAGCTAAACCATCTCTGTCATTGTTAGAAAGTCTATTTATGATGCGAATAGACGACCGAACGAATATAATCAGTAATGTTATTTGTTTTCAGGTAAACTGGAATATTGAGTTCATTTGCAACAACGAAACTTCCTTTAATAAATTTGTTTTTGCTTTGTTAAAACAAATAAAGTTGACAATATACCATAAATAAATGACCAGAATAGACTAGATGAGGTTGATTAGCCTCCAGTAATTAATCAGGGTACCTAACCGAGTCTTACAGGAGGTCAATCACAGGCCGAATTGCTAAAACACGGAGTAGTGTGGGTTCGAAACACAAGTTTGACATCATTTCCATTGACATTGGAGATGTGCCTTGCTTTCAAGTGCGAAGAAGCATGAAACCTAGGTTGGGCAGAACTTCTTCCCGGTTACCTGTATCCAACTAACATAAATAAACTGTTTTTACAAATTACTGATTAATGAATCTTTTTCCAGTGGTATTTCTTTTGTTCGGATCAAAAAAATGAAAGATGCATTACGAAAGTGCTCCACGCATATGTCTAGCACTCTTCATTTCTCAATGGATATCCAAATATTGTTAGTTTGTAGTAAAATTCAAGTTTAAATGTCAGGGTTAATTTCTACGAAAAATGTTATTCCAGGTTAACAGCTAAAGCATTTATATTGTCATTCCGAATGGAATAGTAACATACATAATAAATACGTGTATTTACAAAAAAGGCTTTGACCGTACATGTTATAAAATGAATAATGACTCTAATTATCATCTGTGTTAAAAATAAACTCTGGCAGATGGAATTAAGGCTTCTTCCCCTTTATTCCAGCTTCCTTATGACCCTGATTTTATAATTTAATTTACCAATATGGTAAACTAAATAGGCCATTTTAGAACACAATATAAAAAACAGAAAAAGTAACCGGGTCAAATAAATACCTTAAAGCTACATTTTTATGTTTCTCTCTTGTTTGCAGAAAGTTTTTATTTATCCATCTGATATAAATATTTTATATGTGTGATGTTAAATGTCAATGTATTTCCAAAAGTATGTGCTTCGCTTTCCAAAGAAACTTTCGATAACTTTAAAGATGAGACTTTTCAGATGAATAGAAAGCACGCGAAACAGAGCTTAATAAAACTTACATTGGGTTCTGCTATTTCAGGTTTACTAACCAACTAACTTTACTGCAGAGATAGTGAATAAACTTAAAGAAAGCTTTTGTAAAGAAAAAAATTCCGAATTATTGATATCGCGACCAGTTAGGTCGGGTTACTAGCTTAATCAGTATAGGCTAAGACTAAACACCGTGTACTCACCTTGCCGAATTTTATAGCCCTATAGGTATGTCTCTAAATATTTCAATGGTCTCCACGTTCATTGGTCAGTTTTCCGTACACAGTCTAATCAGCTGTAGATTTTTGTTTATTGTAAAGACTTACAATTTCGAATTTCGGTAACTTCTAGTAATTTCCGCAATAAGTCGCCATACTTCCTTCCCGGTTTGAACTCTGAAGCTCCTAAGAGAACACCTAAGTACCTAATTTTATTCTTCTTGACAATATTTTCAGTTTTATCTGCGATATGACATAGTATGAAGTAATATCTAACAATATACGCGCTAGTTACAAAACAACAAAGCTTATTTAAATTAATGATTTGTGACTCTAACTCTTTCCATAAATAACAATGCAATCAGGGTAGGCGTAAAGACATGCTGTATATGACGCATACTTGAAACTCATACTTCACAGTAAATATTTTTTCAAATAGAGATTGTAGAAGAATAAATTGAAATGATAGGTTATTGATGAAAAATAAAGTTGATTATTTTTGATGCGAAGTTTGAAATACAACCACTCTAGTAAAGAAGTATAGTTTTAATAAACAATTCAAGAAATCAGAAGCTTTAAAAAATTCTATGACGAATCAAAGGTATTGTATTTGTTGATGGATTCCAGTAAAAAAAGAAAATAATTGTTGATTACTCTCTGGTATTTAGCAGTTGTATTGACTAGCATCGACTTGTAATAAAGTAAGCCTAGACTTAACAACATAATATGAATTTTATTCTAGATGAAAAAAACTAATCTTATCGTTTAATGATATTTGTAATTTCCCGTTGTTGTTCTGAAATGAAATAATTGAACTCTGTTGACATATTGGATTCTGTGCGAATGCCTCGATATTACCTGATTATTAATTATGTTATAATTTGTTTTGATGTCTGAAACGATAGATACTGGATTTGAGTCTCAATTAGATAATATCACTCGTCGGAATATAAGTATATTAAGCTGACGATTCCTAAAAAGGACAAACAAGTGTCCTGAATTCCAATGCTAGCCACCACTAAACAACTTACAAGAAAAATTGATGTGTTGAAACATTTAACAAAATTTGTTCATTAAAATAATACCTAAAGTAGCAATTCATTTGATTAAATTAAAAATTCCTATTTAGGCATGAAATGAACGAATAGGCATTTCTTTCCAATTAGCCATTCATTCATGAATCTGTATTAAATATAAGTTTTTATCAATATGAATTTGTTATTGTTCTGTTTATCATAATTATATGATTACCATATCAATATAAAAGTGAATATTTAATCACACAGAAAATAATGAATATTGTCCAGTCAGTCACTTTATTTTACACCTTTTTATTCCTCATAATTCAACTATTCACCATTTCATTCACTGCCTTTCTAATTACGAAATAAGTGGGTAATTACTATTAGCTGGCTTGTTGCTAAGAGACCCTTCCTCAATATTACTCGTAAAGACTATGTACTCATAGGTAGCGAATGATATGACGCTATTTAAGTAGATATATTTCTTTGCTGAATTTGTTTACTTTCTAAACTATATGTTTTTAACTCGAGAAGACATACTCACCAGTTGATCAAATATATATATTTTTTAAATCTACTTTTATCAATTTAGATCGTCAGTACACTTTCCAGAGGATGTCCAACTCATGGTCCACACTTAATTCTACACCATGATGAGCACAATAACTTTTCAAACTCAACACGTATATATGCTGTCAGTTCAGTGCTTGATTCATTTGGAGATTTAACAACGACAATTACTACAGCACCTACATCCACTGGTGCTACTTCCACGACAAAAATATTAACTGATCAAATACAAACCACCTACGAACTAAGATTAGAACCAGTTTCATCCGATATCACGCTGACAGCAACAACAACAACAGATCATGAAGGAGAAGATGGAGATGATGAACAGTTGAGAGGTGCGAAAACCATTTCATGGATTCCTGTTTCAATACTCACTGATAATATTTCTTCATCCATTCACCAACCGGATTTTATGTGTCATGAAAATAATTAATTTTAACCCAGTGATTATTTATCAACATTATCCATCTATGTATTTTTATGTCATACACTGTTAATGTGTTCATCGATCCAATTTACTGATTGCCAAGTATCAGATACTTTTACACAAATGGAAATGACGACTGATGAAATTAATGAAAGATTTTAGACTGAATAAGTACAGAATTTTTGTGTATGCACACAGTGACAAAGATTTACTATGTGACTAGTGATCTAAGCATTCATCTGGGAACAGTGAACAGTATACTTCAGGATTCTATTTTATGTGGAAATGAATTCTAGAGAATCAGATTCAGTAAAACAAATATAGAAAACTATGTATAAACTCAATTTTTTTTATCCAAATGTATGGGTGCATTGTAGTTCTACAATTTTTTTTGATGAAAAAGGCGAAAGCTTTTATTTAAAACAGTTCTTTTGATTTGATGTAAATTATTCCTATATTCCTACTGCTAACTGAGGTGAAGGAATACAACAGAGTAGGAAAATTATTATTATTTGTCCCTTGGGTCCCTAGTGGAACACAGGGCTTCAGTAGAACCCCACCATTTCACTCCCTCTCTACACTCTTCTCAACCTGGCGCCACAACCACCCAAAACCTTTCATTTCTTCCTAACACAATATTCTCCATGTCACCCTCACCCCAGAAGCACAACTCACCGTTCCACATTTGCCTTCCACTCAACGGCCTGACCTGGTGCGTGATATCCCCAAACCGTATTCTCAGTATATGTACAATTCAATCCAATCCAATCCATCTCCACTTTCTCATACTGCATATTTGTTGGGCGATGGGTTGTTGGTTGGTTAGTTCCCAACCAGAATTCCTTGTTGATTACTCTTAATATTCTGGTCATCTCTTTTATCTTCATTATCGAGTGAGGTGGGCGACAGCTGTTGATGTGATGTATGTATGTATGTATGTAGTTTGTTGGAAATGCTTTTCGTAATTCACCAAGTCTCTCAACCATCACGCAGAAACACTGACTTACTTGACTGAATTAGTGTTGAAAATCCGGATCTCCTTCAAGCTTTATGCTGAATGTAATTCAGTGCACTGCAGTGCAGTAGATCTACATACCGATTTCAGACTGATGAAGGCCCATCTTACTGTCTTTCCGATCCTGGCTGCTTTGACTTCCTCATCTGTGCCTGTGCCTATGCGCCTGTAGTTGAGGCGATGCTGCCTTACCCAGGTATGTGAAAGAAACTACTTCCTTCAGATTTCTCCCATTCATCGTGATTGGTGCTTGTGGTTGCCGTTCTTGTTGTTGTTGTTGGTTGGGTATCTTCACCACCTCCATCTTCTCTACGTTCATCTGAAGATAGTCCCATCCGTCTTCGCTGCCTCGCCTCTTCTGTCAACTTGTTGCTTTTCATCTATAGATCTTCAAGTTTGTGCTACAAGACATCAGACATAAGTTATGATCGGCGAAATCCAAATCGTGTAGGGACCGAGTCTTTGATTTTAAAGCTCATTGATGCAGGTTTCAGTCATGGAGAAAACAACGGTTCCCTCATGGTGGAAGGTACACCTTGTTGATGAGTCCCAACAATCACGAAACCTGGGCCCAAGACTTCCTATTACTAAATTCTCAACATCTAACAACAAAATGCATCTGAAAAACGTAGTCAAATAAAGAACTGAGAACTAAAAGGTGAGAGATTAGAGAAGCAGAACTACAAAATCAATAATAGGTTTCTCTGTTACGGAATATAGTTGTGTGACTTACTCCTGATGATCCTAAATATTAAAAACGCCCATTTAAAACACTAATCAATTGCCTATATACTCTTATAGGGTTAAACATATTTTTCTTCACCAGTAATCAAACCTACTCTCATAGATTTATATGCATTTTCATTTCATCGTAGTTCAGCTGGTAGAGCACCAGGCCGGAAACCCGGGGGTCGCTGCTTCCGATCCGGCGCTGTCTAAACTTTCATTTCATCCTATATATATATATATATATATATATATATATATATAGAATTTCAAGGGCTGTTTCATAAAACAGTATTTTTATCAGTTGGTCTTAAACAACTTTTTCTTCTAGAGCACAGCTTATAAACACGGCAGTAGAATAATGTGCAATATGCAACGGTAGCTTACATGACCTGTTAACATTTGTTTCTCAGGTACTTTATTTTGCCATACCTAATGAATTGCAAGTTAATCTTAGGGAACAGAAGCAATTTTAAGTAGCTAACGTTAAAGAACTTATATATAGCCTTCACTATCGGTTACATCACTCAACCAACCTCAGATGTACCTGAAATAGACTCAATTAAGTGTTTAATTGCAAATATCCACCTTCTGCTGACTACTTTTAACGTTGAGTGTCCATTTTTTAATAAGAACCTTTCTCTGGTACTTATCTTCATTTATAAATGCAATCTATAAGTTTCAGTAAGAATTTGAAGGAGTACGGAATAATCACCCAACTTCATTAGTGGTTCCACTGAAGGGACTATACATTTTTATCATTCTACATATAAAGGGAAACATTAAGATCTAAGTGAAGGTCATAAAGTGATTTTTTCCAGCTCAAAACTTATGTATAGCGATATCACCATCGAAAATTCCATGTCGGTGAGCGATCAGTTTAGCTTATTAACTTTGTGTTATCTATAACAGTAGGCTACATAAGATACTAACTGAAGTTCACCCTTTCAATCCATTAAATACGAATTTCGCCTAATAGTGTCATTATCATAAGGCATTTTCAGCATAAGTATCAACCGTAGCCGAATAATTAACTTAAAACATCTCATTTCAATTTAAAATCAAGTGAAATTATCACCTTTCATATTCAGTTGTTACATGCTTATTCAATTTTATTCACATCTAATAATTCATATGATTACACTAGCAGTACAAGATGGATTGAAAATAAATTGTAACAGACTTATCATCCTTACCTTGTTACAAAACACCTAATAGGTAAATAACGTTAAATAAGTAATTATGCAAGCATTGAATTCCCTGTGACCGATTCCATTAAAACAGAAACAACTTTCACAGGACATTGGTAACGGACTGAAAAATGAACTTTTAAACAATCTGATAACAAAGCAAAATAACAAATTAATCTAAAAGTAGTATTGATCATGGACTGACATCAGTTGCAGAACTATTGAAAATCTGGGGGCACTGGATAGCTGTTTCGTCCTAGTATAAGACTCCTCAGCAGTACGCATCCACGACCCGGTTAGGGATCAAACTCAGGACTTCAGGTTTCACAGCGAACGCGTTAACCATCCAGCCTAAATTAGTCATTAAGATTGGAGAAAATTTTGATAAGTTATACTTTTCAAAATGATAGTGATTATAATAATGGCTTCATTCTGAAAGATATTTCGGAAACTGAAATGCTTCAAATGAGAAATAATTTTTAAAGTATATGAACAATTCTAAATAACCCAGATACGTCGTAACTATTTTTATCTTATAACCATTTCCCCATCACGAATATTTTCTTTGTGATGCAATTCATATTGACCTTTGACCATTAATTACTCTGGAATGTTCAGTCTTTTTTATCATATATTCACAAATATACAGCTAAGGGAATAATTTCCTACAAAATATTTGTTGATAGATGTTGTTATAGTAAAAATTTAACAAGCAAACAAAGTGTTTCTTTTACTTAACAAATGAGATCAACAATACGAAATCCTTAAATTCATTAGGACTTCTCTGTATTTTTATAAAGGATTTTGTTCTCTAGCTTAGAGGATAAATTTGATGATGACTGTGTGATTCAGTTACTCAGCACTGAGTTTTCTCAAAACGTTGGTAGATATGAATTTTATTGCCAGAACAGCACCGCTATTCTTCATACAAGAACGTGTGGACGACAACCTGAGACAGAATCAAATAAAGTTATTAAATGTCATTCCATCTTTCAATGAATTCGTAATTCTCATTTTGACATGAAAAACGATAGTCAACGAAAAGCAGTCTTTTCAAAGAATGTATATATATATATATATATATATATATATATATATATATATATATATAAATTCGTTAAAAAGACTGTTTTTTCGATGAAGACTGCAATCAGTGAGGTGCACGTAGGATTCAAAGGGGTGAAAGCATAGTAGAGCTAACAAATAATCAAAGGATTAGGTAACAGAAATTAGAAAAGTTAAGTGAGGTGAACTGAAAACGTTTTTTCCAAAGTTGCCACTATTATTATGTCATCTTTGTCCTTCTCCCACTTCCAGTTTTCATATATTATTAGGAAGATTAAATGACGGGACATCAGAAACTATTAAATGTAAAAGAAATAACAATAATAATGATGATATAAGAGGACAGAGATTAATCTAACGAAAGGGGAAGTAGAACAAACCCCAAATAAATCAAAATAACTTAAAGGTAGAGACAAAGACTATAAGTACTTATTTTGAACACAAAGGTCAGGCTTCAATTCATAAATAGCCAAGGCTTCTGTTGTGCTTAGAAGTTAAAGACGGAGAAAATGTGAAATGTTTGAGCGAATTCGATAGACAAACTTAAAATCATTCTTCGGGTTGGTTGAATGGCTGGAATAGATTAGATGTTTAAGGATAGAACTTCTACTGTATTACTTTTCATCCTTATAAATCCAGGCTGGAATATGTTCTTGTATACACGTTGATAGAAATCTTTAGCTACCTTTCTTTCAGCGAGTTTGCATCACATGTTTGTCTGAATTAAATAAAACGGTCACACAATATATGATATATTTTGCTTGCTAAGAATTCACTCAAAAAAATCTTGAATTATTATTTTCGGCATTACATTTAAAATTCTTTGATAAAAGATTGGATGGATTAGAACAGAATTGAAATGAAACTGACGGTAATAGATACAATACATTCGAAATACTGAAAACCTTTTGTTTATTCGGCCTAGTAAAACTAAATTCTTAAGAACCATAGTCATATAGACTGATACTGAACCATGTAAGTCATACCTAACCTCCTTAGCAGTGGATTGA